TCAAGGATTGCTGTGGGGTCCTGCGGAATGGCGTCTCACCGCAGACTCAGCTTCTACTTCGTCATTTCTGCGGGACCGCGAGCTGCGAGCCCGCCGTCACGTTCGAGGGCTGCTGGGGGGTCCAGCTGACTGACGCCCTACACAGACTCAGAGTCAACCTCGCCGTCCCGTGGGGGCTGTGAACTGCGAAGCTGTCGCCGCTTTCGAGGGCTGCTGGGGGTCCAGCGGGTTGACGTCATATGCAGACTTGGATTCGCCATCCCTGGGGGGCTGCGAACTGCGAACGTGTCGTCACTTTCGCGGGCTGCTGGGGGCTCCAGCGGGGCGACGCCTTTCCACCAGACTCATATTCGACATCGCCATCCCTGGGTGGCTGCGAATTGCGAAACGGTCGACATTTTCGAGGGCTGCTGGGGGGTCTATCGGGATGACGCTTTTCCACAGATTCAGATTATGCCTCGCCATTCCTGCGGGGCTGCGAACTGCGAAGATGTCGTCAGTTTCGAACGTTGCCGCGGTGTCCAGCGGAGTGACGCTTCACCGTAGATTCAGACTACGCCTCGCCATTCCTTGGGGGGCTGCGAATTTTGACGCTGTCGCCACTTTTGAGAACGTTGCTGCGAGGTTCAGCGGAGTGACGTCATACGGGGATTTGTATTTAACCTCGCCGACCCTGGGGGGCTGCGAACTGCCAAGCTGCCGCCATTTTCGAGCGCTGCTGATGAGGTCCAGCGGACGAACGTCCTACGCAGATCCAGATTCGACCGTGCCGTCCAGGTGAGCCCCGAACTGCGAAGCTGTTGCCACTTCCGAGGTCTGCTGGGGGGTCAGCGGAATGACGTGCTATGGCGACTCAGGTGAGTTCTCGCCGTCCCCGGGGGTGGGGGGGGGCGCGAACTGCGAAACGGTCGACATTCTCGAGGGCTCCTGGGGGTCCAACCGAGTAACGTCTTATGGAGACTCAACGCCTCGATTTCCCTTGGCGCCCCCGCCAGTCCCTAGTTCCTCCCCGCGGTGGGCGATGGTCCAGTGAATCGTGCAAGGGGCGGGCATCCCATGTAGCCTGCAACAAATTACGGTTCTCCCATTGGCATCATCCATACCGCTGTTGGCGAACAAGTCTGGTCACTTGCTGGAGACAGGCTGGGTACGTCACAGGGTATTCTGTGCCTCGGATCGTGAAGGCTGGTTTTCCATCGTGAAGGGGCTCAAATCGTGGACGTGCAGAAAAAAATCAATGTTATCTGCGCGGGGCCGTGCGGGTGAACGACTTAATACTGCGATGGCAGCGCCAGCCGGTATGCGCCACATGCTATTTATCACAAGCCTCCTGTGGTATCTACTCCACTGCGGTATCCATTCCTGCTCCTTCTCCTCCCCCTTCCTCCAGTAAGAGGACAACAGAAATTGAACCCCTTCGTCTTCGGCCCCGCATTCGCCCCCCCCCCCCCCCCTCCCCCCAATTTCAAAGTTGGGTTCGGCCTCTCGGAGGCCCTGGGGGTTCCACTGTTTTTGTCCTCTCACGCCTGTGCTGCCAAATGCTTGAGGTCGACTTTGAAATTGGGGGGAGGGGGGGGCGTGGTGTCAAGGGTTCCACTTTTTTGTCCATCTACGGTCCTGCCTCCGCCTGCGCTGCTCCACGGGTGGCTGCGCATGGCGCAGCGGTCGCCACTCTCGTTGGCTCCCGGGAGGCGCGGCGGAGGGGGGGAAGTGCGCGCGCCCAGCCGAGACCTCGCGGCTCCCTTGGGAGGCCTCGAACTGCGCAACCGTCGCCACTTTCGTGGGCCCTGGGAGGCACGGCCGAGTAGGGCAATGCGCGCGCCCCTCCGAGACCTCGCAGCTGCCTGGGTGGCTGCGACTTGCGCAGCCGTCGCCACTTTCGTGGGCTCCTGGGGGGTCCAGCGGGGCAGGGGAGTACGCGCACGCAGCCGAGACCTCGCAGCTGCCTGGGTGGCTGCGTCTTGCGCAACCGTCGCCACTTTCGTGGGCTCCTGGGAGGCACGGCGGAGTAGGGGAATACGCGCACCCAGCCGAGACCTCGCAGCTCCCTTGGGGACTGCGAACTGCGCAACCGTCGCCGCTTTTGTGGGCTCCTGGCAGGCACTGCGGAGTAGGGGGGTACGCGCACCCATCCGAGACCTCGCAGCTGCCTGGGTGGCTACGAATTGTCCAACCGTCGCCACTTTCGTTAGCTCCTGCGAGGCGCGGAGGAGCAGGGGAGTGCGCGCACCCAGCTTAGACCTTGCAGCTGCCTGGGTGGCTGTGAACTGCGCAACCGTCGCCACTATTGTGGGCTCCTGGGATGCACGGTGGAGCAGCTGAGTACGCGCAGCCAGTCAAGACCAGGGCTCAATCTTTAGGGCTTAGGGCGCAGGCCTTAGGACTCAGGGCTTAAGCCTTAGCGCTTGGGGCTTTGGGCTTAGGGCTTAGGGTGTGAAATTTGGGGTTCGGGTGTTATGGCTTTGGACTTTGGGCTTAGGGCGTATAGCTTGTGGCTTAGGGCTTTAGGCTTAAGGCTCAGGGCCTAGGGCTTAGGGCTCAGGGCAGATGGCTTACGGCTTAGGGCTTCAGGTTTAGGGTTCAGGGCTTAGGGCTTAGGGCTTCGAGCTTTGGGCTTAGGGCTTAGGGGTTAGAGTTTATGGGGTTAGGGTTAGGGTCCCAGTGTTAGGGTGTTATGCTTAGGATGTTAGGGTTTGGGTGCTAGGGCTAGGGGGTTAGTCTTAGGGTGTTTGGTTTAATATGTTCGGGTTAGGGTGTTAGGATTCGGGTGTTCGGCTTAGGGTCTCAGGGCCAGGGTGCTCAGGGCTAGGGTGTTCGGGTGGGATTCGGGTATTAGGCTCAGGGTGCTACGCTTAGAACGGTTAGGGTTCGGGTTAGGGCGGTAGGGTTCGGAGCAGGGTGTCAGGGCTAGGTAGGGGTAGGGTGTTCGGGTGCGTGTGTTAGGGTTATGGCGATAGAGTTCGGGTTAGGGTGTTAGGGTTAGGGTGTTAGAGTATTAGGGTTAGGGTGATCGGGTTTGGGTGTCAGTGTGTGGGTGTTAGGGCTAGGGTGTCAGGGTTAGGGCGGTAAGGTCAGGGGGAGGATTCCAGAGCTGGGGGGGCGGAGTGGCCAAAAGGGGGTGAGGGGGTCCGATTTTCGAGTCCATGGGTGGGTGTGGTTCAAACCACCCTCCCCCGTTTAGAAGGGGGAGGGGGGGTCCAGGACGACGGGTCGGGAAAGCGGGGGGTGGGTCCGGGGGATTACGGACTTGGGAATGGGGGGGAAGGGGGGGGGGGGTCCCGGACCCCCCCCCCCCTCTGGGGCATCAAGCGGCGCGCCCTCCGAGATTGGCCCTGAGGGAGCTCGAGCTCCAGCCAGCCCAGGTGGCCGAAAGATCGCCAGGCTGGCGTCAAAACCGCCAAACTAGCGTCAAGACCGCCCGCTTTACCCTAGGGAGTCCTCCTCCTCCTCCTCCTCCTCCTCCTTCTCCTTCTGCTCCTGCCTCCTCCTCCTGCTTCTCCTCCTCCTCCTCCTCCTCTTTCTCCTTCTGCTCTTCCCTCCTCCTCCTCCTCCTCCTCCTCCTCCTCCTCCTCCTCCTCTTGCTTCTCCTCCTCCTTCTCCTTCTGCTCCTCCCTCCTCCTCCTCCTCCTCCTGTTTCTCCTCCTCCTGCTCCTCCTCCTCCTCCTCCTCCTCCTCCTCCTCCTCCTCCTCTCTTCCTCCTCCTCCTCCTCCTCCTCCTCCTCCTCCGCCTCCTCCTCCTCGCAGCGCACACCCCGAGCAGGCCGGCTTGGCTTGATGCCGGCAGGCGGGGCAGTGTCAGGGCGGGTTGGCCCGCTGCACTCTGGTGCGCCCCCCGGGGCTCCGCCGAGGAGGCCAAGAGAGCGGCCCGGGCGGGGGGAGCGGACCTTGGCCTCCCTCTTGTGCTCGTTCGGCTTTGCCCACACACACTTGTATATATATATATATATATATATATATATCAAGTACGAGCGATATATATATACACATAAATATATAGTGTTTTTTTAGATTTGGCTTATATCGAGTTCGAGCCTTCATCCAATGGGTGCGGTGGAAGGGGGAAAAAAAAAGGCTTCGCCTTCAGCTGGCGCTGCGGCACGCCGTCCTGCGAGGTCGGGGTTCGCAGCACGGGGGGGCGCACCCCTGCCTGGAGCCCCTCCCCCACTCTGGGAGGGGGAAGGGGCTTCCCTGTGGTTCGCTTGCGACCAGGGTGGATTCACTCTGGGCTGGCGAGCTTGGAGAGCCCAAGGTGGCCGCAGGGAAAGAGTGGGCGAGCTTCGAATGGAACAGTGTCTCCGAGGAGCGCCCCTGGACAACCACCTCAAGAGTCCCCCTGACACACGCCCGCAGGGTCGGCGTCAGAGTGCAACTAAACGATCCAATTGACTTGATTCGTACTTCGCAGGCGGGTGTGAGTATTTGGCTTCGCCGCACACAGCCCAGTCAAAGTCCCTTCCACCACGAGGCAGCTTTCCAGAATTATCGGCTTCTTGATTGAGTTCACGCGCGGCAGCAGTTCGAGGAGAGGCCATCGCTCATCCCCTCTCCACTAGCCTGCATCAAGGACATATGTTGCATCACCTGGACCGTGCGCTCTCATGCTTGTGCACTGGACTTACGCACGGTGCCACCACCACGGTACTGGCTAATATGTGCTGCCCTCAGAAGGCGGCCAGCGCGGTCGTTGTTTCAGCGTTTTCCGTCGAAGAGGGACCGTCTCCGCTTATTTGAGGCCCGTTGGCGACTGCGACCGCTGGGATTCGATAGTTTTGCTGGCATGGTGCATCACCTAGGCCAGACTGCGTTGAATCCATCCTGTTCTTGATAGAAGGGGCATGTTGGAGGGAGGTAGGCTATGCGGGTGCATAGGTTTGATCGATCTGATCCGGTTTGTCACTGTGGGCATGGCATCTACATGCGTCAGACTTGCCATTAAGCAGCGAGGGAGTATCTCGAATTATGCTTTCGTCTCTGTGATGCTCCTTTGTGCATCCGTTCAGCTATGCCACCTCCAGAAGACGGTGGCAAAGGAGACCACCTCCGTCCAGCTCGTGCTCATCTGCACCACCATCTGCGCGCATGGTCTTCTCGGCTCATGTCTTTATGTGCGAAATCTCCCAGAGTGTACAAGGATTTCAGTCTTCGGAACTCTCCGGCGTCACTCGAGATCTGCAGTATCGAATTGCTCTTTGACGCGGCCCTTTCAGACAGGTCCTTGAGTTGAGATCAAGCGGTCATGGACTCGTGGCGGTGATACGTTTCTGTGGAGCGGGCTTTGACACTGAAACAGCATCTTCCCAACAAGAGGTTCAGCTTTGTTCAGGGGCCTTCGGCCAATTGGAGGCTGAGGGATAGGGGGAGGAGGAAGGGTTGCAGAGCAAGGGCGAGGAGGGGAGGTCGACTTGGAGTAAGCGCAGGAACAGGAGGGGGAAGGGGAAGTTGGGGAGGGGGCGGGGGGGAGGTTGAAGAGGAGGAGGATGATGAGGAGGAGAAGGACGATTTTGTTGGGTCACCTTTGACCTCACCATGTTACATCCCACTAGGCCTGTTCCTGCTATTTTTCGCCGCTATCCTGGCTCGGAGGAATTCGAGGCCTGTCAGTGGGGCGGCTGACGCGGTCAGTTGCCGCGGACGCACCGCCATCGCGTGGGACCTCGCTTCTCGTCTGGATAACGGGGTCTCTCGCCTGGCACACGGCACAGGGACATCGCGCTTCGGATGGAGGCCACGCCTTAACCTCCTTAGCGCCGTCGTCCTTGCACTGCTCCGCTCCTCGTCCGGCTTGAGGCGCCTGCAACGATATGCCAATCTGCGTATCTGATCTTGTGCATAGTGCCTGCAGCTTAGATATATCTATATACACATAACATTGAAGAGAGGCTTATCCTGGTCTCCGACCTCGGTGCTTGCTGGCACGTGGTCGTATTCAGGAGGTGCCGCCAACGCATCTTTAATCATCGTGGGAAAACCATCACGTCTGACCTCAGTACGATCGCCCTGGGACACTCCATACATAAAAAAAACGCAGACAACTCGAGCACCTTTGGCCCCACCCGACGAGGGTTCGAGCCGCTACGGAGTAGTACAGTTTTCAACAGTATGTATTGCAATACGCGCGACAGAAAAGGCTACTGAACGCCAGCGTGTCCGCAATCAGCTGCGGCAAGAAGAAGTCCTCACTTGCAATGGTGAGCTCAGGTACCTGTCGCAGGTGTTAAACGACGCGAAGGTAGATATGTCGCTACCGAGTGAAAGACACCAGCGCGAGGGCTCGGAGTGGCTCACCACAGCCACGCGGCATACGCCATTCTAGAAAGATGCTGTCTCGCCTCGGTCCACAGAGCTCGTGACTTCGTTCGACATATTCGACGGTTGGGTGGACCTCAGCCACTTGCTGGAACATTGGCCGCCGAAGGGCAAAATATGAATTCTACCATGGGACTCACCTGGAAACTATCAAGAGATGCCTCCGGGGCAGACGCTGGGCATGCCAAGCACTGGCTGTGCTTCAAAATTGTGTGAGATGGTCGATACAAGCTCTGGTATGCAAGAGAATCGGCTCCAGGTGAAGAAACTCGAGTTTTGCGGGGAAGCCCGCCCGACTTACTTCCAGCGGCCCACCAATGGACATAGCAGCCCAGGCATCAAATGTCCAGAATCACTGTGTTCTCGAGTGACAGACCTGATCGACGCGGGAGCACCCCGCTATTTGATGCACGAGGCCAAATGGTCGAGCATCCCGAGTATATTCAATGTCGGTTTGTCACGCCGAAGCCAAGACAATCCTAAGAGAAACTCCGACAGGCAGATGATTCATGGATGCCCATATTTGCCTGGAGATGGGCGGATCCAGTCAGGCCTACGGATGGATTCAGACGTTCTGATCCTTGTATGCCTCAAGAACCTGATTCGTTACAACATCCCGGTCTGGCTTTCCGCCAACGACATTATCATGACTTCGGGGGGCAATGGCCGCATCCCGGTAAGTTCTTTTGTCCAACTTATCGGCATCAAGCACAATGTGGACGTATGTAAGTACGACCGAGTTGGACAGGTATGGGTCACTGAGTTGTATGCTGACGCCCAGACTCAGCGGGGTGTTCGGCCAAAATTTCAAGTCGTACCGATGGAATGGTACAAGAACCCTTTTCGACCCTACCACATTGAGGCGATGGATTGTGCCCGACACTCCTTTTCAACCTTCGTGTGCCCACGCAGGCCTCTCCTACAGCATAAGTTCATCATGCCTCCAGATCCATAGTACAAGAGGTAAGCCCAGTGGGGGAACCTGCAGACGCCTCTGATGGACGCTGGAATCAGGCTCAGAGTGCTGATGTGTCTGGTATGACATCCAGTGGAGTTACGCCAAATGACAGGTTTTATGCGAACCACCATTGGCGCAACCAGGCGCAACAGATGCCGGTGCCTGCGGGGCAACCCGTTGCATTCGCGCCCATGAGCATGCCCGCAACAACGTTTGGCATTCCACAGAGTTCTGGGAGTAGAGACAGTTTGCAGGCCAGACTCCAAAGCATTAGATTGAATCCACAGCTCTATCATGCTTTGCAGGTCACATCGCCCTCTGCATCTCCATGCGCTGCTGCATCGCAGACTGCGCCAACGTGGCGGCCAGTTATCATGGGCCAGTTTGGCAGCGTGATGCCCGCGACAGATGCTGCCCAGAGGGCCGACAGCCTGCCGGGGCAGCAGCAGTGGATGCATAGGCAGATGCAGGAGGCCATGGAGAGCATGAGGCGCGATGGAACAGACCTTCCAAACGCCAACTGGACTCCGCCATGGGAGTGCGTGCCCGATGCGAATCCGTCGCCGAACCATCCAAACTGGTACGGGTACATGCCGGCGATCCTCAGCCACCCGACGTATGATCCGACTGCTGCAGAAAGGCCAGTGGCACTACATATGCATTCGGCTATGTTCCCTGATTGTTATGCGCAGACGACAGGGGTCCCTCGGGTCGGTAGCCAACCCGGAAACCCATCTGTGAGGGCGACAGCAGACGTTTCCTATAGGTCCCAGCTCACACGGGGAGCGGGATACGAGGCCGGTAACCCTGGCCAGGTGCCGCACTATGGGTACCTGGCAGCCCCCATGGACCAATACGTGAACCTACACGGTCCAGAGCCGGTCGTACCTGCATCAATAGGAGAGCTGCGTCCCGAAATATTGGCCATCCATGAGGCGCAGCTTGCCAACCTCTCAGTGCGACTTGCTCGCCAGCAGCGTAATCAGGCGCGGCCGGCGCGCCGCGTTATGAATCGTGCGGGGGCGCCCGCTGCTCCTCCAGCTGCGGGGCAACCCGCTATGGGTCCTCCAGCAATGCTTGCTATGCGACCAATACCTGTGGGGCCATTTGTGGCACCTGCAGTTCCGCCTAGCCGCAACGAGCTGGGAGAAACCGCACTTCAGCGGCAAGCGCGCATCAGGCCGTCGGCAACGCCACCGATCATCAGTGACGGTGATTTCGGGAAGTGTGCCATGTGCCTCGCAGAGTTTGCATGCCATGATCAGGTGTGGAGGCTTCAATATGGTCGTATCTTCCATGCGCATTGTTGGAGCCGTGTAGCACGCGCGCGTGGAACGACAGCTGGAAGGTGCCCCGAGCGAGGCACCACGCGCCATCTGCAGAGGTGTAGGCCTCATCACCGCTGGGTTTCATTACGCCATTGCGGGGGGTGCGCAGTGCAGCGGATCGGCATGGAGAAATACTCCGGGGCAAATGAGTTCAGAGACCTTCGTGAAGAGCTGCAGCGTGTCGCAGCCATGGTGGGAGGCTCTGCGGCCGCTGCAGGGCCACCTGCTGCTCCTGTCGGGCAACCTGCTGCACCTCCATGCGCGTGGCCAAACCCAACAACAACAACGGCGCCAACTGCGGACGTGCAGATGCCGCTGGTAGCCGAGTCAGCGGCCATTGCAGGGGCGCCTGCTGCAACGGCGCTTGTGGGGTTGCCTGCTCATGACGCGCGGCTGAGGCGCGTGGAAAGATCCACCGCGCCATGTGGCAGAGGGCGGGGAAACCCGCTACGCCCGCGCAGAGCCGAGAGCCCAGTGAGTGTGCGCAGCGGCGCAAGCGCCATATCTGAGCGCGACATGCTGCGCGCGGTCCTGATGATCAGCGCGGATGGTCAGAACGCCGTGCGTGCCGATGAGACCACTTTTGAGAACATGCCACTCATGTAGCAGCATCCCTTTCGATATGATGGGTTCCCCTCTGATTGGATTTTCCAGCAGTGTCCCATCGCAAAGGAGGGGCCAGGGGGTACATGAACGTCTCTACCTCTATGACGAGGGATCAGTGGGTCCTGGACCAAAGTCGCTGTAAGGGCATGCACGGCACAACGCTGTCCTCGCTGCCAGGCATATTCGGCGATCAGCATGAGTTAGCCCTGGCGGCGAACAGTGGAACCATGATTGATGGAATGTTGTCTATATTGCTGGACATCGGTTGCAATGTTATAATCACTTGATGCAAACTGCGCAGACATTGGAGCGAGTCTCACGCCGGCACGGTCACGACCTCAAGGTACTAGACCTGGGAAAGGTTTTGTGCGTGGCCGGAGTGGGCAATGGAGCAGCAGTTTGCACGGCGTCAATGCGCTGCAACGTCGCCTGTAAATGCAGTGGCGACTCCGCGGGTGCACCCGCTATCGCGAGGTTAGACACATACTCAGCCAATGTGGCAGAGGGGTTTGGCGAGAATCTGCCCGCAATCCTGGGGGAGAGGGGCGTGGCGAACGTGCGGCCCATCCTGATCTTTGAACAGAGACATGAAAATTTGGTCATCCCAGGTGCAGACATGGACAGGCGCCTTCTTGGTAAGGGCGCCAGGGTGCTGGATCTGATCGAGACACCATCAGTACACGTGACGACCAAGGTTGACGGGTGCGGGGTAGCAACGGAGGCCGATGGTACGACAGCTTTTACCATCACGGCCAGACCTCAGTGCGAGGAGACGTCCGTTTTCATCAAGGAGACCACGGACATGGAGCCGATTGCGGGGCGACCTGCTTCT